TATATATAATATCCCCCTCCCTTTCTCTCTCTTTCTGTCTCTCTTTCTTTTTTTCTCTGTGTATTTCCCTCTCTTTCTTTCTCTTTGTATTTTTCTTTCTTTCTCTTCCTATTTCCCTTTCTTTCTTTGTATCTGTTTCTCTCCTTCACTTCTCCCTTCCTTCCATCCCCCAAGCCTTCTCTCTTTTCTCTGTGTGTGGCTCTTTCTGTTTCTTTGGTTGTGAGAGATGAACTCATTGTCATACACAAGACACCAAACAATACGCCTAGATCGAGAAGTGAAACGATCCGATTCTAAATCTTCTTCTTTGAAAAGTCGCGTGCAGGAATTACTCACCAATAAGTCGCGTGCATGAATTACTCGCCAATAGGTATTCGTTGGGGTTTGCTTGTATTGAAGCAATATGAATCATCTTACAGTAGTGAAAAGGGGAAAGGAAGGCAAAAGAGGCAGAGGTAGACCAAGAATAAATTACTTTAAAAACTAGAACAGATGAGTGACGACTAATAGGGGCTCGGAAAATAGCCTATAGGTTTTTTTGGGGAAATCCGAGCAGAGAAATAAGAGAAAATATATGATCACCGATTTTAGTTGGAGATCTGGCACTCAAAGAAGAGTAAAAGAAGATTTAAGAGGCGTTGGCTCCTTACATTTCAACGATTTACTGTACGTTTATCTCGTTTGCACCGGGCTGTGAAATAATAAATTAATGTATTCCCAACGGAAACTTAACGACCCCCTTCAAAATATAATTTCAAACGCGGTAAAAAATCCTCTTATCAACTACCAAGGTTTCCTACCGGTAACCAAAATTATGTTGAATACCCCCGCCCTCCACCCCTCCCCCCCCAAAAAAAAAATTAAAAAAATAGGTTCACAATCTGATTTAACAACTAGATTATCTAAGTAAAACCTCGTACAAATAATATACAAACAACGGAAAAAAAGGTCGAACGTCTGATAACATAAACAGGTACGCTGTCTCGTGTTACTTTTCGTTCGCATACTTCTAAAAATATCTGAAAGGTACGTTCGTTTATTACCCCAACAAAGATAGCGCTTGTGGAGTATAAATCAATCTCATACTTTTATCAGGTTGCCTCAATGGTTCCAATCTGTATAACGCACGCGGTTACCGCACTTAATCAAGATGGCAGAGAAATAATGAGCAGCCGACCCCAGTCTTTATTACCGCCCTTGGATTTTGGGTGAAAATATTGACCTATGTTTGAACCCGCAAGACCTGATAGATCTAACTTCCATTTCAAGGAAGAAGACAGCTGACATGCGGGGAAAATCGAGATAGCTAATTCTGAGAAATGGGGAACTCCCTTTCGAAATGTAACCTGTTTACTGCGTTTATTTACAGACAAAATAAGAAACGGATAGATCTCTTCTGTATAATGATAAATTGATAACAACAACAACCACAACAACAACAACAACAACAACTGCTGCTGCTGCTACTACTACTACTACTACTACTACTACTACTACTACTACTACTACTACTACTACTACTACTACTACTACTACTATTACAAAGAGGTACTCCCCCACCCCCTCCAACCGCAAACAAGAACGTAATCCTCTTGACTACTGAAAGAAATTAAACCTTTACATTGTAAATGACGTATGTGATTGGATGGGCATGCTTTAACAGGCTGCAACACGGTAAGCAGTCTTGGAGGAAGAATGATGAAACAGGCAAAGACAAACAGAGTTCGGTCATATCCAGATGAGAAAAAAAGGAGTGTTATTTTAGTAAGTCTTTCAAATGAACGGGTAAAACAAAAGGGGGGTATCAATTTCAAATTTCACATCAAACATTTACGTGAAGATTGGGAAAAATCTGTTCGATGTCAATCTCACCATCAGCAGCTCCACAGAAGTACTGCCTATCTTACGACTTGAGAGGTTGTTGACATCGCCCTGTATAAACACCGTCTCTCCAGGCACGTAACCTTTTTTGTTGAGTCTCAGACTGGCAGAGATGGGGCCTGAGATACAGCATAAACAACACATCTTCTTCTCCTTCTCATTGTGGGTGGGTTGCTGGTGAGGAAAAGGAAGAGTGGACGGTTGAGAGGGG